GCGTTAACATAAATCATTCTTAATTATTACCAATCAATCTTGTGAATTAAATAAGTAATATAAAATAAGAAGAACAGTTATGAATTAAAAATATCCAATAGAAACCTGCAAAAAATTGTCAAATTTGTTAGCAACTGTACAATATAAAATAATTTAATAGATTTCTAAATTTTATTGAGACAAAAATAATATTAAATTTTCATATCACTACTGAAACAAACTGATAAATGATTTGTAGTTAACTACAACCGGTCTTTCGTCTGTGTTATTTATTTGTTACATTTAAACTATAGATATTTAAATATTAAATGATATATAATAAGGAAATAATAAATATAAAAAGTAGTTGATATAATTTTTGATTAATAAATATTACTATATATATTCAATTTTAATTAAAAAGATCATATAATTGCAAACCAAAAAAAATATATCAATTTTAATTAAAAAAGATCAGAAAACAAAATCACAATCAGCAAACCAAAGAGATATATATGTATATATAAGCTTATAATTCTAAACAATAATATAAATCTACTAATAAAAAAAAGAAGTATTGGTAGCACAAAAAGATGCTATTGAAATGATATAGCTGAGAGATGTTATCAAATAGAGAATTTTTTTTTACCAGATTGAGGAACAAAGATGTTATCGAAATGATATATCAAAGAGGTGTACAATCAAATCCTATATAGCATCAGTGGAGAAATCGTCATAATAGGATATCTGCATATAAACCAAAAGAAAAAGCAGCTCTCATGAAATATAAAAACTTAATGTTCTAAAATAAGAAGAAAAAAAAAGTTTAGAATATTATTAACATAAAAAGTTCAGACTACAAAGTTCAATGATTTCATTTCTTTTACTGTGAATGTCTTATTTATAGTAAATTGATAACACGTTTCTCAATGATTTTAGCTTGCATGATAAGCTAAGAAGTAACATATTCTCTAATAAATTCTCAATAAATCTTATACTTTAAAGGTAATATTATTTTTGGAATATCTTGTTGATAAAGTTAAAGGAGAACATCTCGTGAATAGATTGCACCAGAATTTTGGTGAGAGAAAATATCTTATCAATTAATTTTGTTTTAAATGCATGATTTTAAGAGTGAAAATATCTTGTCAATTAATTTTGTTTCTCTGACATCTAAAATATTTAACGAGTATTTAATGAATTAAACAGAGAAAATATCGCAAAAGGATGTTCTTTGAATCGAGAAAACACAAAAGGTAAGTATTTAAATGGATTTCCTTTTTAGTAGTATTGATGGTAAAAATAAATCAAAAAATAAATTCTAAAAAATCAACCAATATAATCGCTAGAATTTTTCTGAGAAGGCCTCTATGAGTGCCACGTGTCAAAGTGACTTCTCTTTTAATGTATAGGGGATTAATATATGAATTATTCGCATGTCGCCACGTATCATAGAGACCACGAAATAGTAATTGAACCGTTTTTTACAAGTGACTCTTTACGATATAGGTCTGATTTTTACGAGTGACTCTTTAGGATATAGGTTCACTAAAATCACATTATTATATTATTTTTTGGGAATTGTGCAGAACTTTTCCATTAATTTGCTAATGGGTTTGTTCTTATGGCTATTCACAAATCAAACCGGCATCAACCTGTTAACCGTTAACTGCATATACCAATCTTAAACATTTCTTAGATCTCGTGCCTTTCAATAGTTTTTACAATGAAATTTTCTCTTAATGATAAAATGATTTTTTAAGCAAGATAAAAAATATAGTGAGCGAATATATACCGAATCAGCCGGCTCGAATATTATAGAAACTTTATTTAAAGAAAGAAAAACTCATACAAATGTATATAATATTATATGAACGAATGACCAGAATGT